ATAGCCTTTAGAGGAGTCACTTAGCACTAAAGTGCCTCAGGGTGACATGATGCTCACAGAAACATTCTGTTAAAATCACACAAAAAACTTCATGGCCTAAGAAGATTCTGTGTACCTATACATTAATACATTTTGCCAAGAATTGAAATTAAACAATAAGAGGATAATGAGCTCTGCTGAGAGAGACCCAATGAGCCTTAGATACAAAGATGATCTAAACTCTTATAAATATTCTTCAGAATATGTAAACTCAAATGAGGACCTGAATAAAATAAAGTAGTTTCTCCCCTGGACTTGCATTTGCAGTCAGGCTAGTAGTCACCTTGCAATTGAACGATCTCTCACCATGCTGAGATTCTCCGGGACTATGCCAAGGCACATGTGAGAATTGCATAAACCGGTGCTAGACAGTATGAACTGGCCTATGGGTAGTAACATATAATAAGTAGCCACATTTCAATTTCCTGTCAGACTTTGCTTTATTCTCAAATTCTGTCTGGGAGAGATGATTTACATTCAACAAGTAACGTGTCAGCCACTACGTCTCTGTTCTCTAGGATGTAATTTGTAAAGCCTGTTAATTCACTTGAGAAAGAATGAGTGATTCCCATACACAGCTATTTCATTTGACTGATCATTGGGATTACCCTTGCCTGTTTTTTTCTCTTCTAGTCTGTGTCAACTTAGGACATTAACTCTGGCTGTTATCACCAATCTGGTTTCCTAGATGCGCAATTCCCTAACTCACTCAAGTGGATAATTTATTCCTCCCATAATGCTGTATTTCAGTTTCAGGACAGTGATGGTTGGAGTGTAATAGTTGCCACAAGTAAAAGTAATGAACCATTTAGCAGTTACACTGGAGTCTGTTGCAGAGTATCTCATGGTGACTGTCTCTCCCTACTCATCTGTAGCAATAATCATGTAAGACAGTCTTTGAATTAGTGACACAAGTGAGTGACTTTACCAGGCATTAAAATCTATTTAAGTTACCATACAGTTTCTGGCCCTGACCTCATTAATACTGCTCATTCTTATAGACAGAGTGCCTTTAGGTAGTTCTAATTCTTTGGTGAGTATAAGATACAGGAGTGAAGAGAAAATAACTCATTTTAGTTGTGATGTGGAATACAATAACCCATCACCATAGCAAAGAGCATATTTTATTTGAAAAATACGAATAAAAGGTTTTGTCCCTTTTGTTTATTAAAGGAAAAATGTAACAATTTCTATCAGTAACACTTGCATAAGGAGGTATACTTTACATTAATCTTTTGTTAAAAAAAATATATATTTTGGAGACTTTGGAAAAATAAGGATGGCCCAATACTTGCAACACGCTCCTAATGTTCCTTAGAATGCACTGTGCCATTTATATGTACTGCAAGTACAAGGTCTTAGCACTTTATAATCCACAAAGTTACCTTAGGCAGCATAATTTCATATTCTCCTCCATGTATAGAACATTTCCTTTGTGTGAGTCTATGAGTTTGGTTAACTCCAGATCTGTCCAAGATTTTTTTTTTTTTTTTTTTTTCCCCTAAAGGATAATTTTACAAAGGCTTAGAGCACAGAAATTTTGCAATTCCTTTTAAATACCAGTGAGAATATTCACGTAGACATTTTCTCACATTATTCGCAATTGAAACAATAGCATCAATTAGAGCTTGAAAACAAGATGTTTACAAATAGTTTGATTTTCCACAAAGAAATGCAAAAAATAAAGTGCATAACAGTGAAATTACTTTAGACTTTTACAGTTTTCTATGTTTATGCAATAAATGGCAACACTGATAAACAAGTTATCTTCAGTGTCGGATTCTTAATCTGAAGCCAGCTGAATTACACTTCCTTTTCTTTAAAATGCATTAAATCATTTTTTACTCTTTTTGGGTTTACAATATATTTTTACATTTCCTACTTACAGAGACCATTTTCTCAGATAACATATGCTGTAAAGGATACTATCCACCCCCACCATTACAAGAAAGAGAATTTGAGGTAATGTGACAAATTAATTGTAAGTGCATGATTATTTCAATAGCTGTCACAGAATTAAAATTCTACATCTCTTAAGCATCCTTCTCTATGTGCCATTTAATGTTACTATCTATCTTCCAGCTTAAATAAAACTGGCAGTTATCAGCATTTAGTTGTTCACTGACAACAGGATTACTATTTAGGGTAATGGGAACATATCTGAGAACATGAGTATACTACAGGTCTATGAAAGCTTTAAGCAAAATCCATACAGTCAGACTTAAACATAATCCTGGTAAGATTTTCCCACAACACTGTCACTGAATTTACACTGAATTTAAATCAGCAACACTACAAAATGACTGTACCTTCCATCAAACACAGTATTAGTTTTCTTTCAGTTTAATCAGTGTGAACATAGAAACTCTCAAATATATTTTAAGTTTGTTTATAGGACATGAAAGATCAAAGGAAAATTCTGTGGGATAAAGGAAATAAATCTGAAAGTGTTCTTTTTGCATCATGAGGCCTGCTTCCGTGGCCCTGAAGATTTAGTATTCTGCTATTTTTTTTCTCATGCAAACAACACAGCACAGCAATGTGCATTTGAGTAAAAAACATTAAGCATAGCAAGCATGCAGACGCATCATGACATAAAAGCGCATTTGACGATCATTGTGGATAGGACAAACCAAACAGAACACACTGCAGCATTGCTGAAGTACAGTCTCAATAACCCTGCAGAATTTTAAGTGATTCAGAATCCCCGGGGCTTTGGGTAAAATGCTGTATAGCAGCAAGAGAGCACCAGGAATAGTGAAAAGGAGGATTCTTGATTCTGTGAGATATGACCTCCTCTTTTCATTAACTTCATCAGAACATGAGCATAAAGAGTGATTGTTTGTGTTGCTGCTGTTAACTTCTGTTGGCTTTAAGCCTGAATGTTCTATAAAGCAAATAAAAATAAAACAATGACTGAGGTACTACTTAAAGCACAATACACATTTGATCTTCCCTGCTTTGGTGTAGAACAAGTGGGAACAGACATAAAGATAACTAACATTAGTTCTCAAAACTACTGTATAACAATGAATGCTGCTCTCTCATGTATATGCAGTACAAACTATTATGACTCATGATACTACCAGTGTTCTAAGATTTTCTTCTTAGCACTCTACTCATACTGTATAAAAACTGAGAAGTCAGAAAAAGCAAATGTAATCTAAATCAAAAGAAAATTTATCCTGATAGAAAACTTGCACTTCTAGTTGTTTTATTTGGGATGAAATCAAAACACACCCTAACTCTACCCTCAGAAAAGATACATAAACCATTCTCAGGGTAAGAACAAAGGTCACTGCTTTAAAGCAGCTGTTAAACTGTACTCTACAATGAGGATGGCCTCAGTAAATGTATTGCTAGAAGATTCTGTATTTGGCAAAAATTAAATAAAGTCTGAATATAGATTACAAAACTACTCTCAAATCATCAGTAGAACTTGTTAGGCATTGGGTGTTTTCCCCTCCAAATTGGTTTCTGAATTTGGTTGTTGATTGAAACAGTACAATTTTCAAATTGAAATGAAAACAGTATGTTTAAAAATCAACTCTGGAAGTAACTGCAAATAATTTTTTTTTTTTTTTTTAAGTGTTTGAGAAGTTTCTTTCAAAGCTACTTATTTCTCCAGAAGGCTGTGTAAACCAAAATCAATCAGTAAGGGGTTTATTGAAAAAGAGTAAAAATTCTCAAAGTAGGACTGATCAAAAATCGGATAGAACTTACCTACTTAAACTGTAAAGAACCAAACAGACCACTTGTGTGGCTCATAGTAGGTCAGTATAAATACAGACTCAGCTTGGATGAACAAGAATTGGAATGCATTCAGAAAAGAGCAATGAAGACAGTGAAGAGCATAGAAAACAGAATTTTGAAGAGTGGCTGAAGGGAAACGGGGTTGCTTAGCCTGGAGGAGACCTCATTGCTCTCCACAACTACCTAACAGGAAGTTGTAGTGAGGAAGGTGTTGGTCTTTTTTCTCAGGTGAAAAGGGAAAGGACATGAGTTGACAGTCCCAAGTTGCATCAGAGGAGGTTTAGATTGGATGCTAGGAAGAATTTATTCACAGAAAGTATAGCTAGGCATTGCTAGGTGCTGCCCAAGGAGGTGGTAGAGTCACCATTCCCAGAGGTATTTCTGAGACATGCGGGTGTGATACTTAGGGATAGGGTTAAGTGGTGGACTTGCTTTGGTGACAACACTTAACCCGCTGATCTTGTAGGTCTTTTTCAAGTTAAATGATTCTATGGTTGTAGATAATTTTTTCCCTACCAGTCTGAATCTCTCCATACCAGTCCAAAGTAGACAAATAATACAGAGCTTCTGCCCTGAACAGCTTCTCTATGAAATGCATACCATAAAAGCCCACATCTCTAAGTATCCAATCATTTTAAAAGCAGTAGACTTTAGTAAATAGTAAACCTATTCAGTCATAATCCTTCATGGGCGTTCAAGTTGATGTTACAGCTGGAAGGATTATCGTGGTGAAAATGGGAAAAGAAACAAACAGGGAAGGAATGCTCACTTGTATCCAAAGATCTAGGTTCACAGGAAAGAATCCACAAAGGAAGAATCTCTTTCTAGAGATCCCTTCCTAGGTGGCAGTCAGCCCTTAAATGGCTGTGTGACTTCCGGTCACACAGCTGAATTGCCTTCACCTGTGCTCCCATGGCTGACTCAGCCCTTTCCTCAGGAAAAGTTCAGGCTGTGACTCAACAGTTCCCAAACAGTGGGATACTGTGTTCTCCTTGTCCTCTCATAGTATTTCATAGTATTATCAGAAGACAGAGAAACAAAAGGTTAAACTTTCAAACAAACCAAGAGGAAACATAAATCTTATAGATAATAAGCAGCCTAAAGAGCAAGTTCTGCAGTGAAAAAAAAAAAAAAAAAAAAAAAAAGTACTAACACGAGATTGATTTCATCCATAAGAAATCCAAAATGACACATTTTATTTCTTTCACTCTCCACTGGCTTAAGATGTTTATCTTCCCATGATGTTTGAAATAGGGAGAAAAAGTTTGTTCTGCTTAGATAGAAATTACTCTAAGACAAATTAAATATCTATATATTGAACTAAAAAGAAAGCAAGCATCATCATTTTGATCACCTTGTTTAAATCTTCTCTATTCCAGTCTTACCAACAGCAATATTTTGCTTCTAGACACACACAAAAATTGACACATTATGATTAAGAACACTGTCATAAAGTGACTGATGTAGCTCTTGGATTAAGACCAGCAAAAGACTTCAAAAGCTCAGTCTATTGCCATAAGTGAAGCACAGTGAACCGAACAACTGCATACTTTAATTGTGCTGCCATTCTTGTTTTTACTGAAAGAACCTACGCTTCATCTGCTTTGCTGCATAAAGAGTACTTCAGATTCATTTACATGAATGATGTTCCCATGAAAAGACAAAAAGCAAACACATCGAAAACAATGCTTCTTCCAGAGTGGGTCTGGGGTTATGGTCTAGCTCTGTGTTTGCACTGACAGCTAATGATGCTTTCCCTCTGATAGCTGGTTAGGGATAAAAAGATTATGAGGGACATAATGAAATGATATTTTCACATTGCAACCTGCTAATTCAAACAGATTAAACCATCAAAGGACCATTCATTTTAGAGGATAGGTGTGGATTATCCCTGCTGTTAAAGGAAAATGACTCCTAGAACTTCTCACACTGATAGTAAACCCCATTAGCTACCTTACATTGGGATCACAAGGCCTAGAGCACAGCTAGCAAGGCAACCTCAAAACCATCTGCAAATGACTTGCTCTTCCATTAGTTATCTTCCTAAACAGGCATGATCAGAAACATACTGTAGCTCAGAGATATTAAGCATATTGCAATAAAAGTGTCATTGCCCAGCTTTACTTTAGGTACTGTTACGGATACAGTACCACAGACTTTATTGAGCAATTAAAAATATACACAAGGGACAATTGCTTCTTTTCTCTGTATTTTTCAAAATTTTACTTTCTTCCAATTGGAGAACCCAGTTTCAAATACGAAAAGGGCACTTGTTCTACAGTAACTGTGTACAACTTGCTCAGTTCCAAGTACTGTATTCATATGCTGTTATCACTGTCGTCATTCTATCTCCAGCTGTTTAGGAATTTCTCTGTTCTGGGAATTACAGCTAAGTTGTTCTTTCTGATTCTATTTCCCCATAGAGTTCAGCTAGCTTCTTGAACTCAGGCCCCCAGTCTCCAAGGTAATTATAATCCTGGTCAGATTGTGTCGTGACTGAATCCAGAGAGCTGATAGATCCAGCTTCCGATCTATGACCTTCATAGGCATATGTCTGTAAGGAGTCATATGGGGGCACGCTGGGGTCCAGATCAGCCTCTGCAAGTCTTTGTTTAATGAACTCCTGAACATTTATACTGTCAAGGCTTGAAGAAGGATGAGGCCTGGGTGCAGGCTTAACTTCAGGGCGGACATCCCTCCGATACTTTAGCTCTTCTGCAGCTGATGGATTACGTAGTGCTGTGATATCAAATGCTTCTGTGTCTTCTTCTCCACCGCCCTCATCGTCATATGTCACAACATTTTCTCGGACATCTTCCTCTGAAATGATCAAAGGCTCCTTCTTGCTACGTCTTAGGGTGATGAAAAGGACCACAATTGCTAAAGAGAAAACTGCAGATTTTAGATTAGGTTTAAAGTTTACAGTTGAAGTAAGTAGATATATGCTACAGAAACAGCAGCTACTAAGTCATGAATTGAAATACTTGCAGGCTAATACTTGTATTCTGATGTTATTAAGCTGGCCTTGAACTGGAGTATCATAACATCAGGCACATACCCAATTTGGAAAACAGCCTACTTAGAGTGAGCAGTACCTTTGTTGTGTAATGTTATATGAAATTACATGAAGATAGATTACTGTATGCCCAGAAAGCATTCATGAATTCTACACAGTTGAGTTTTGACATAGCAACATGCCAAAAAGCAACAAGTAGAGATCACACAATTAAGGAGAAAGTTAATAATCTTATTGTAAAAGTACAAACTTCCAATACAGCCTGGTCTTCTAAACGGCCAGTAAAGAACACATTCCTATTTACTTTGCAGAAATTTCTACGGTTTCTTAAGCCAATAATTAAATCCAGTTATTAAGATTATTAGGAATCTCATATAGGACACAAAAATGGATAATATACTAGCAGTTAGATGAGAGAGAAATAACTAAGGCTGCATTTTTCAGATGCATTGTTAAAGGCTTTCTGAGCTTCATTAGGACTAATATTCAGCATATACATATAATTAAAATGTACAAGCTTTATTTTTTCTCTTATGAATGTTCAATCTTGTATAATAAAATACTAGATTAAAAACCAAATGTATTACTATACATTTTAAATCTTTTTTTTTTTTTTTCAAAAGGAATTTCTGAAGTAAGATGTGAGAGGTGCACTTTTAGAAAATGTAGAACCTTCAGAAAAAAAATCCTCAAAATATCCTATGTGAGTCACAATGCAATTCCTACTATTTCTTTTTCCAGCTCTATTAGAATGCAGAGAGACACCTGAATAGATGAATATTACAGAGATACGTATCCAGCAAGTTTTGCCTCTGCCAAAAAAAATATTAACTAACGTGTAACATTCAAATTGGCCTGGGTTAAAAAAAAAAAAAAAAAAAAAGAAAGTGGAAAGAAAATGCACTTGCAAGGACATTTATCTAATGGAGCCATCATATTATCTCATGTATCCCTTGCCCCCCCCTTGTCCCCGAGGAGTATGTTGTGCATTGCTATCAGCTTATCTCACAAAGGTAATTAATGGCTTTTGTATAGTGCTAATGGTGCTTCTCACAGTGTAATGCATTTCAAAAAGCTTTCCTCATCATCTATCATTTTTTGCACTGTTCTAGGCATGGAATTAGCCAGTGGTTTTTTGAAATCTTTTCAAATTATAGAAAAATGATCTGCAGTGCTAATTACTTGATAACCCCTGAAAAATTATTTCTAGTGGATTCCAGATATTCATGCATGTGCTTTAAAGGCTTTTTTCCCTATTAATTTTAGCCAAACCTTTCCCCTCTAATCACAGCTATGTGTTTCTAATTACCTCCTACTACTAGGCAGCTTCTGGTTCAAAAACATATCATATTAAAAATTTCTGCCCTGTCACATTCATAGAGCCAGCAGAAGATGGCAGTACTTAATATTGAAAATGACTTACCAAGAAGAATGACAACACAGAGCAGGATTGCGATTAAAGCTCCTGTGCTCAAGCCAGCTGAGGAGAGGAAAGCTTCAGCATGGCAAGTTCTCACACGTCCATCTCTCTCACATGCACAAACTCTAACAGTGAGAGTACTGCTGCTGCTGAGAGGGGGCACTCCACCATCAGAAATCAAAATTGGGAGGTAATAGATATCTTGAGTGGTTCGACTGTATCTCCTTCGTCTTGTCAGGATACTGGCTGTGTTATCTACAATATCATAAAAAAGAACAGAATCAGAAGCAAAATGAAAAATATGATTGACCGTTTGTTTCCCATCCAGCAGAAGGACCAGACATTTTAATATTCCACAATACTAATCTGTGAAAATGCACAATCTAGATTAAAATCAAGTGAGTACCATTTGTGGTCAAAGAAGGAAAACGAGGAGGCAGGAAAAAGTAACTAGAACTAAATAAATAAGCCTTATTTAAGCTTGTGTCTTAAAGTCAAAGTGGATTTCGACGAACATTTTGAACCCAGGTTGCAAGTGTTTTAATCCGATGATACACTGTTGGTACTATAATAGACACTTGTAAATGTGAATATCTGGAATTCTACAAATCTCTGTTGTGGAATTTTTCCACAATTTTTTGATTCTCAAAATAATGCTTAAATGTCTCTACTAAAAGTTAAAATTAAATTTTCATGCGTTAAGGTTTGTGACAGATTTTATAGATGAATTGAGCTTTCAGAAAATATCTGAAAGGACTCCTGCAGTAGGGAGATCAGGAAGAAGAGAGAGGTGGAAGGGAAGGGAGAGTAGAGTGGCAGAGAGTGCAGATACTAGATGTTTTAAACTGATGAAAATGTAAGGTAAATAAGGATGGTAAAGAGAAAGCGATGCAAAATTCTGTCACTGTTATGTTCATCTGGCATGTATTACAGCTAGTGAGAATGCTAAAGCTTACTACATGCGCATTGCAAGAGCATTTATGAGCACTAATTAGGATGGTAAACTGCCACCCATGTTTCTTCAAGTCTAAAAAATGTAAGGAGCATAAAGGGAATGCAGAGGAAGAAATGCTATGATAATATAGAGTTATATCTTAATTTCAAATGTAGTATTTCATTTTGGTTAGTTGCCCCAACTTTAAAAGACAAGAGTCTGCAAATAAAGCAAACAAAACTACAGACTGAGATATTGAAAGTGAGAGGTGATCCAGAGAGAAACCAAGAAGCAGGGAGAAAGGTTGGAAGAAAAGTGCTCTCCTCTTGTGCCACTTGCGCATGATGTGGATTCCCAAGAGCAGGTTTGTGGTTTTAAAGATTTAAAAAAAATAACCAAGAGGTGATAAGTGCAAAAAAAAAAATGTCTTCTGGATTTTTCTTCCTGTTACAAAAACAAAAACGAGCACAGAAAACTTATTTTTGCTTACCACTGTAGATACAGCACTAAATGTGTTTCTCATAAATTATGAAAAAATGCACCCTGTGCCACTTTGTGAAAATTAAGCAGGGCAACACATCTAGTGTGGCATATTCCAGTCCATGGGATTGCTTATTTTCTGCACAGGTATTTGAACAGAGGAATTAGTTTCCATCTACATTGGGTGCAAACTACATACCAGGTGATTATGTTTCATGCCATATCACCTGTCCAGCTCTGTACCAAACTTTAAAGCATTAATTTTAGGTCACCTCTCTACATTTTATCTTGGTGTATCACCAAGTAATAGTACTGATAATATCTGTTAGTGTAGCCTGCAGGCATAATATCATAGTATATTTGGTAACAGCTTTCACATGAGAAATATGTATGAAGTAGGAATTACCCACGGTCACAAAGGAACCAGGCTGTTGACCTCAAAACTGCACAATGTCAGATTCTCCTGCATTGAACCTGATAACCTTCTCCATCTTCCCTAATTCTTGCAAATCTTCAGTATGGTTCTTTTGCTACAAACTCATTCAGTTTTGTTCTCATTTGCAATGGGTACCAAATATGATTTCTATTTGTTTATCTGTTTTCAGTAGGCCTTAAGGTCCTCTTCAACTTTGTCATGCCACAGAGCACTTTTGAGGACTGAAACTTGAGATTCATGCCAATTTGTTCCTTAGAGGCATGACACCAGCCACATACAATGTCATTCACATTCATTCAATTTACAAAACCCTATTTATGCCAAGATGGTATGAACAGATAATTCTGTCACCTGAAACAATCTTATACAGAGCAAGATCACAACATTATGGGAATAAATAATATTTGCAAGAGTTTATTAAATATCTTTGATATATTCACATGCCATAATAAAAATACTTCCAATAGTGAGCAGACTTCCAACAGACAGTTGATGGGAAAAAAAGGTAAATCACTTTTAACACAGGGTGATGAAAGGGATTCCTGTATAACTGAAAACTTACGAAATGCAGAAAGATGTCTCTTATAAACATTCTGATAAACTTTAACACTACTCCTGGGCCTATGAAACCCTATTCAAAATGCTCTGATGTTCTTAGTAATGTTGAAATTTTTAATTATCATGTTGTTTAGAAATAAATGATTTCCAAATTATTCTGCACCTAGACTAGGGAGTGAATAGTTCTGTTTTATAAATGAAGGAAGAAATCAAACTTGATAAGACCAAGACTCAGACTGCATTTATTTTATAAATAGAATTCTTCCCTAAAGCAGAGTGAGCAGTGGTCTTTGGTCCATAATTACAGTCTGTGCCCACCTGGAGAGGTCTTACTTGGCTTTTCTGATCTAATTTTAAAATATGAGGAAAAATCTAATTTAAGAAAATTGAACTAACTTGTTCTTTGATAAAAGTGTGGTCTATTTTTTGATGAAATGCAGTACCTGAACAATCAAAGCGATATATTTTAAAATGCTCCTGAAAAAAATACTTAATGTCATGGAGCACAGATTGCAGGTAGATCACCTACATGGCTTTTAAATTAAAAAGTGGGGAGTAAAGTAAGCAGCAGTTTCAACTTTCTGCTACCTAATGTTGCAAAACAAAACAAAACAAAACAAAAAAAACAAAAGAAAACAGTTTTTTTTTTTTTTTAATAATATTTTACCCATTTGCCACTTCTCCATTTTTTTTTTTTTAATGCCTAGACTGTCAGTCCCTGCTTCCCTAATAGTGCTGGAGGTGTGGATAAAAGTCGTCCATGGTTCAAACAGAATACAAAATGACCTTCAGTTGGTTGGTCTGCCAGCTGCCAAAGCAGTGGCAGATTAGGGTCTGGACACAACACAAAAGCAAAAAAAAAAAACCAACAAAAAAACCAAACCACGTAAATTTGTGATTACTAAGGAATTTCAAATGAATGCATATTTTGCATGAAAATAAAGTAACGTACTCTTTATACACACAATGCAACGATTGCTGCTTCTGCCTTTCTGTACTCAGGAAGAAAGTCTTCATCATCATCTTCCTCATAGGGATGATAGACTTTACAAACTTTCTGATTCTTCAGTATCCAATTTATAATTGCTTCCTTCTTTGAAATGCACCTTGTTACAACTTACTAGCAGAGCTCCTCTCTAACAATTCCCTTTTTTTATCTCTGTCATGGTTTCATGGTTTTTCATCAGTATTCCACATCATGAAATCATGCAGTGCATGGGGAGTTAGAGTTAATGCTGCGGTTCCGTGGATTGTCAATATACTTCATGAGTTCTGGTCTCCTGGTCTCAGAAGAGAAGAATGAACTACAACTCCCAGAAGACTTCATTTTACAGTTTCCGTTTTCCATTTGGAGGGAAAGATAAAAAAGACTGGAAGTCACAAGACTTCTCCTCTTTGCTCCCTGGCTGTTTTCACCCATGGCTTTAAAGTAATGACTTTGGTTTTGGAAACTCTATCTTTCTCATTTTATTTGGTTTCTTAGATTCAAATCCAATCACTGTATTCCAATATTTATTATACCGTGTTATCTCACATTCTGCTACTGTATTTAGTAACTATTTTTTTTTTTTCTTAGCTCATTGCCTGTTATTGTTTGTCCAGGCCCCTTTCCCTACCTTTTCCCTTTTCCTCTCTCTCCCCCTCCCTTTCCCTGGGCATGGGTCCATGGGTCCCTTTGCCCCCTCATCACAGAACCTAGGCTGAACTAGGCTGAACCATGACAATCTTCTGTGCTTTGCAGACTGTTAAACAAAACAAGGCTGGGGAGCGAGTGAGATCTCAGAAGAATGATCACTCACATTACTGAATTTTAGCACTTACCCTGGGATGCTGTTGTTTGGGCCAGCTAAGAGTCTGTCACATAAAACCCAGCCTGAGGCAATCGCACACACCAGGGATCTTCCCAGCAGGCATTGTGGACATGAGTGCACCAGTTTGCCTCGTGGTGAAAAAGGAAAAGGTGAAGAACCATTTCCTAACACCCAGCTGCCCCTCCCTTGACACAGCTCCATGCCGCTCCCTCAGGCTCTGCTGTTGTCACAGAGAGCAGAGCTCAGCGCTGCTCCGAGCTACAGCTGCCATGAGGCCTCCCCTCAGCTCCTCTGCTCTGCACTGAGCAAACCCAGGGACTACAATCACTCCTTGTATGTCTTGCCCACCAGATATATCACTATCTCTGTTGTTTTCTTTTGGACACATTAATTATTCCAACAGCCTGTGGGTCCTCAAGCATCCTCAACAGCTCTGTGCTACACTCCGCAGCACGTAGCTTCTTTTCATGCTATGGTAATACTGCTCTGTTGGGCTGCAATACAGCTTTCATATTATTTCATATAATGTCATAAAAAACAAAACAACAACAACAAAAACATAATGATGAAATCTAAGCACCTCTGGGTCCAGAGGAGGTACAAGGACAACTGCTATGCAATGTTTGCAGTCAGCCTGTGTTATTATGCTTCATTGCATCACAGTTCTAGTTTTTATTTTAAGTTACACTTTTCAATTTTTTTCCTCCTCAGCATCAATACTGCTACAATAAACTATTATCTACTGGTCACCTAGAATTTCCCGTGAAGTCATTAGAGAGGCACAGCACTCCCATGTGCACATTTTAGGACATACACTTAACAACAGGAAGAGAAAGCAATTTCAGAAAAGTGGCATTTCTAAGGAGAATTCTATTTCAAGTTGCAACAAATAAGGAAATGACAATCATACAACAAAGTTATCCAGAACTAATACCTTAAAAACCTAAGGATGCGTTCCAGGACTTAGCTTTAAACTTAATCCCCTAATTCCATATCCATAAACTAAGCATTAATATTAACATCTGTCATGTCTCAC